TTATCAAATAATAGTTTATACTTTTGGTTCACATGCATATATCGTATAACAGATTACGTGAACAAAATGTTAAGTCTGATGACTAGAGATGTTCCTTTAGAGCATTTATTTAACTAAATGATGAATCTGTAACTTGATGCTTGCCATTGTTGAGTGAGGATGGGTGCTCTTGCTGTTCTGGTGCACTTTCTATATTTAGTTTTATCTGCTAAGAGATCTGGATTTAGCAACTTCTTATGAGACTTTAATGTATCATTTATCTGTTGGGCAACTAATAAAGGATTCCATAGTAACTGAAATATCATCATGGAGAATTTTAAGGACAGCTGATGTAAATAGTGTTGTGAGAGAAACAAACTAATAACATGAATTCCTAGAAATGAAGAATTTCCACATGCTTATATTCTCCTGAAATTCATTGCTCACTGATCTCAGTTCTTTTTAATTTTCTTCCATTCTTGGTGTAGTTTGTTTCCCTTGACTGTTTACTTTTGTTAGTCGCATCTTCAGTTGTGGAGTCCTGAATGGAGTTTGAAATAGGCATTAGCAATTAAATCTATTTTCACCAAGTCTATTTTTTCCACCGTAAGTATTAGCATATATGGGAAAGAAAGCTATGCATTATAGACCTTTTAAAATCTTTTATGGATAGCAATTGGGTGATGTAGCTGTTGCACCTGATCAAGATGTGGTTCTGATCAATTGCATCTGCGAAGGATTAGTATTAGTGTTTCTGATATACATGTAATTTGAATTCTGAACAGGCTGCCGAGAAACAACAAAAATGATAATTCAACAGATTCGAAAATGCATCATCAGTGGCATATGATCCTCCCAAATATTTCTGTAAAGGTATTACCTGAAACATGATCCATGTGTTCTCATTTTATTTTCATTTGTGAATAAGGGAGGGTTAGTGTTTATGTTCATTAGCGATTGGCAATCATATTTCAGCTACATTTGGAAATCCCTGCAAAGGTTTTGATCCACATGACAATGGGGCTTCGATGGGAGCACAGCCATTCCTAGGGGCTCTCTGGGATTCCCTTCCCTGATTCAATGTTCACTTTTATACCATCTGATTTGGTCTAATGATTTGGCACTAGAACCAATAGATTACAGCCTGGATAATTGCATTGTAGAAAAATGTTCCAATGGCTTCATGTTTCAAACATTATGCTAAATTCATCTATTATAAAAAATTTAAGTAGTTCAATTGTTATATGGTTAATTGTTATGCGTATCTTTTTAGTGCGAAGGATTTGGCATTGGAATTTGTATAACTGTTAAAACTCTTTAAACTCCAAACTTCTATGATCAGCACGTGTTTTTCTTTTATCGACCTCCATTCCAATATCTATTTCTAAGTGAATTTCTGGCAACTAGTTTCAATGCTATAAAGCCAGTTAAATCAATGACAACCACTCCAGACAACATAAATTTTAAATCCAATCATATACATAAGTTATTTAGCCAGATGTTCAGATCTAATCTTCATGATACATTTTATACATTTAAATTAACTACCGTATAGTTTTTTTTTTTTTTTGTCAATTGATGCTTAAGTATACATGTTTCAAATCATACTTGATTATTGAAATTGGTATTTCCTTTTATTTTCCTTTTATAACAATAAAGTACAACCTATAAATATATAAATTTTCTTTGAACATATTCTGTTTATTGGTTCATTATCTAATGACAAAAAATTAAGAAATATCACCAACAAGTGATTAATTCAATAGATTAAAGTTGTTTTTTTCGACGAAAAGATCTTGAGTTTGAGTTTTATTAGTGGTTATTTGATGAGATCATTTCGAATACACTGTTTTAATCTGTCAGGTACAACACAATTTGCTCTAACTTGAGAGGTTGAGAAATCTATTTAACTCTAGATTTTTTTTTATAAAAAAAAAGAAAAAAAATATAATAGATTGAAATTAAAAAGGAAAAAAACTATTAATTAAGAAATATAACAGATTGAAATTTAAAAAAAAGAACTATTAATTATAATGATTTGATGATTTGGTATGCTTAATTACCTGATAAAATTATTGGATGTGGATCAGGTGAAGGGCTTGAATCTAAGGGTGGATTTGGAAGTCATTGTGGTCACGTTTCAACGCAATTACATTGGTTTTTTGTGCAATCGTGTTGTAGCAAAACATTTGGATAACAAACTGTGGTGCGATTGATGCAAAAAATTCATACTGGAACCCATTTTCACACCGAATACTGCTCCCTTCAATGAAAGTTTTTTTCTCACTTCAGCTCTTGTTTTCAATATTATCCCAACTTTTTTAATTTTACCCTTAAAATTATAATAATGGACAAATATATCTTTACACTTACATATATATTTATTTAAGGACAAATATATTATTATTATTATTTTTAATAAATTTATGATTTGATAAAAAAAATAATTTTATTAATTATTAATTATTTATTAAATTTATAAATATAAAATATATTTTAAAATTTATTAATACAAGTTTAATTTAATATCTTTAATAATAAATTTTTTATTTTTATTATACTTTATTTCATTGTTATCATTATATTTATATCCAAATATATATTTTATTATTTATTTTAATATTATTATTATAAAAATTAATTTTATTATTATTATTTTTTAATTTATCAAAATTAATCTTATCGTTCATTTAAATAAACGCTAGGTCTAATACGTGTGTACGTGAATGCGGCCTACAGTGCCCTTCCAAAAAATAGCTTTGACAAAAGACGATGGCACACTCCTTTCGTTCCTTGCCCATTTTGGTAGATGCTCGTTATTTGCATACATGATATGGAGATTGGGCTACCTCACAATTCCAGTAAGAACTTGTGGGTTAGGAATTAAGAGTTGTAGATTAATATAAATTTTTACAAATCGTTGGTGATTTTTTTTTTTTTTAATTTTTGTTTATTTATGTTTGTTTATTTAGGTTTAATAAATAATTTTAAATAATATTTTAATATTTATTTAATAAATGAATTAAATAAGAGCACAAATAGATTTAATTCTTTCTATGTTCACACAAATTTATTTAATTTTGTAAACAAATTTGATAAAAAAGTTTGATTATAATTTATTTAAGACATTACTTTAAGTTTTAATATATTTTATCAATTTACAAATAGTTTTATAAATTTTATATCATTAAAAATTACACATCAAATAAATTAAAAATAATTTTTAATATTTTAAAAATATTATTATAAAATACCTTTTTACGTACTTAAAATTGAGTAGTAACTTTAAACCTAAAAATTTAAAAGAATAGAAAATTTGTTTCCATATTAATCCCACATCGGTACAACAGTTAAGACAAGGGGTAGGAAAAGTCTTTAAATAAGCCCTCCCTTTCACCTTCTCGTGTATAAATGAAGTAATAATATGAAAACAGCTGGTTGATTGTTCATTTGTAAGAGTAGCTACAGCCAAATCTACATCTCTTTTGAGGTTCTTTTGGATTTTATGTTGGGCACTACCGATTGATTTTTAAGTGGCGTTTTTAAGTATTTATTATGTTTATGTTGTGGGCCATTCCGACCATATCTAGGCAGCCGCAAAAGCAATAATCAGAATTCAACGTTGATTTGCAAATCCAAACTGAAATCTCTACGGTGATTATACTAACTTATTTACCAAGTTATACAAAATGATAAAAAATCTTCCTTCTCTTTGATTATGTCAGCTTATTCCCCAAGTTATCCTAAGAAAAAATTATTTTTTTGTATCAATGACCTAAAGCACATGGATGGTGCTATCATTGATTGGAATTTCTCATATTATTGTTGATAAGCTTCCTTTGTCTTTATTCAATATAAAATCTTGGTTTTGTAATGCTTTTACATGGTTTAAGCCATTAAATTTTGGAGAAGTCAATTAAATCTATGGAACCATGTGGTAATTTACTGCCAAAGCTATTTTAAAACATTCAACATTAGTTACATGATGCTAGCATGGCATAAAATCACAAGGGGAGATCTAATATTCGTTCCCTATTTTTTCTAGTGAGATCAACTAGATGATTCCTTGTCCCACTAGAACTAGATTTCCCTACATGTAAACAACCTTTGTTGGTAAAACAAGGTTCTCGATCTCACTAAGGGATCGCCTTCAAATCGTACCAGGTAGAGGTTGTCAACAAGTTCTACTTAATTTTTTTTCCTAGTTACTGTCTTCTCTTCTTCATGCCTGTTGCTTATATACAAAGTTTCCCTGATGCGGTATCCTTCATATTCTAGGATATTTAAAACCTGTTTCAATTGTTCTAGGTGCTTTTATCACTTATAAATAGCAATGCATTCCTGGTGATTGTCAGTGGGCCAATTTACATGTATTAATGTAATGATTGTTTTTGATGTTGGTAGTCTTAAGGCATTATAAGGAACAAACTGTAAATTAAGAGTTTTTTTATTGTCTCACCTCTTCATTTGTCCCACCTGTTTCAACTTTTTTTCATTGTCTCACCTCCACATTTGTCACATAATCTGTGTTAAATATGTCAGAAGCGTTGGAGGTGTGGTTGCTCCTGTGCCTCTGCCTCTGTGTGCTATTATGTTGTTGCCATCACTTTCTTAAACCTTTCTGTTTAAATGTAGATTTTTATTTTTATTTTATTTTTGCATTTAGGGCCGGAGAGGAATGAAAGCCATACATGGATAAATACCTTCAGGGTTTGTTTGTCCCTGCCAAACCGTGCAGGCGATAGTGTTATAGCATCTTTTCCACTATGGATTATTCAAAGCCTAGTTAGTTTTTGGGGCATTTGAGTGGGCTTTCATTAGGAAACCAGACCTTAATTGGTTTGTGTGAAATCCATCCTAATAATTGGAAAAGTAAAGTTTCCCAATCATATTTGAATACAACATGTTTTTGCATTCAACTCGTTAAAATTTCTCTGCCGTACTCATAATTATCCTATAAGTACATGCGTCTCTGAACCATCCAGTCATACTTTGTCAGTCGAAATTTACAGTCCAAAAATTCCCCTTTTATTTAGCATACTGAAATAATATAAGTGGTATATTTCATCCCGATTTTGAAACACTTTGCAAATTGGCTTTGGATTAGATTCAGTAATAAGTGAATGTATTTCATGCTCAAAAGACTGGATTGGTGGCTTTCCTCTTCCCTCAAATTTATGAAGAGGCAAAGGTTTAAGCTGGCCGGCAATCACCAACCATAGGAAGAAAAGGATTTTAGCCTTTGATGAATGCTTTTTTAACTTCTTTCATGGTGAGCAAAATCAAACTCTCAAGCTTACCATTCCATTTTAATTCATGCCAAAGGTAACAGCAGCTATGCGGCAGTAAATTAAGCATGACTAGCTCCCATAGCTTGATAAGCATCTAAAAGAATTCAATGCATATAGAAGACATGAATGCTCAGAGTTACGTTCACATTTCAGACGTAATGGAAAATGGAAAAAAGGAAATTGCAATTTCATAATGATGTTTCATTACGCTACTGATAGGGGGAATGAAAATCATGGAGGTCAGCATTCATGGAGAATTTGAACCATCTTTTCTTCTCTGAATATCTTAAACAAGGCTCAAGAACAAGCCCGACTATTGCAGCTGCCATGCTAATCACCATTACTTTGAGAGAAGCAAAAGCTAAAACCACAAGAATTAATAGGGTTGGGGGGATACACATTAGAATTGCTCCAGCTGTGCCAACAGGTATCTTGAATGGCCTTGATTCTGCTGGATGGTCTATCCTTAGCTTCACAAATGCTATAAACTCCATGATCATTCCGAAACAGTATAAGAAGTTTTCTGCTGCTACTATTTCTTGAAAGCTCAACCATGACAGTAGTAAAACACCAGATGCAGAGAATAAAATCCCAACCAGAGGGGTTCCATAGCGAGACCTCTTAGCAAAGAGCTCAGGAAGCATTCCTCGAGATGCCATTCCCTCAAGCTGGAAGGAATCGCTACTCATCTCAGCAAGAAACATTCCCATGTTTGATAGAGCAGCTGCTGCTTGAATCCATGTTAGCAGCCAGACACCTCCAAGCATTTTAGCAATATCTGAGAAATATCCATCAGTCCATAGCTGGCGATCAAGTGGAATAGCCCCAGTACCAATCAAAAGGGGGAAAAAGTATCCAAAAACAACTAAGATAACAGCATAAAATAGAGCTTTTGGAAGAGTTTTACTTGGATTTTCTACCTCTCCTGCAAGAGTGCTAACAGAGTCCCAATAATTTAGATTCCAAAAGAGAGTATTTAAGTATAAACCCCAGTCTATATATCCAAGGTCTGCCACAAGCCACCTTGAAGGCTTCAGTTTGGGAATTGCCACAATTCCCATAAAAATAAAAGGGAGAAGTGAAAACACCCCCAGTAATATGGCAACCCAACCCACTATGGTTAAACCTCTGTAGCTCATATAAGTGAGAGCTAGGGTCAAAACCAACACTGCTATTGTCCTTGGCAGACCTCCTTCCAAAACTGGGATAGCTGATTTCAGGTAATCCAGAAATAAAACTGGGTACAAAGCATTATCAATAACCCCACTCAACCATTTCATCCAGCCTTGTTGGAAACCCCAATAAGGGCCCAAAGCTGATGACACCCAGACAACATAACCGCCATTCTCGGGGAACATTGTACCTAATTCTGCTGTTATTAACGCCTCTGGGATACTCCATATGAACGGAACCAGCAAAAATCCAAGAAGAGCTAAAAGGGGACCAGCTGCCTGGACACTATCTTCAACACCAAAAGGCCCCCCAGAGACCTCATAGAAGATCAAGAACACAAGAGGTATAATAGAAACCTTTTGATACTTATCTATCTTGGGGGAAGAAAGCTCTCCCAATTCCACATACTCAACGGTGATTGGCTCCACCATCTCAGCCTGGGTTTGCCTGGTTAATAAGTTTCTCTGTTTCTGCAAGCAACATTCAAATCTAAACACATGGTCTGCGAAAATGTGGTACTTATTGGTTCAGATAATGATAGAATTACAATGATGGCATTAAAAAAAAATCTAAGAAATCGCATCTAATCGTGTTACATAATTCAAGACAAACACAAGTAATAAACAATGGAAGCAACAAACAGTTTTAACATAAGAATAATATGCCTACATTCATAAAGTAAAAGACCATGTCTGTTCCAAGCAGGCATGTTTCCAACTAATTAAGCAAAGATTTCAACACAAAATTATCCTTGAATATAACACAACTCAAAATATCAAATGTAAAGTGCTTTCCACAATCCCATTTCTGACATAAAAATCCCATATTAAACCAATGTCATTTAAGAAATTCCGAATTTCATAAACCAAATAAAAATTCCACTCGCACCCACAAGATTGAATTAATCAGGAAAGCCCAAAACCACCCTTGAAATTATGAAAATAACAAAAAAAAGGTTACCTTTATATATCAAAGAACCCAGAAGTCCAAGAATTATGAAATCAGAAAGCGCAAGACAATGAAACTAACCATGAAAAAAGAAGGGGTTGAAACTGCATTGGGTTTTTTCTGGGCAGTTTATAAGAGTCCAGCTAAGCAGCAGTGAATGTGTCAGCATGAAAGAAACGTGAAAAAAACATTTAGCCCACCACCTGTCCTCTCCTTTTGTACGTGTCTTTCTCGATTTTCACCAGAGACAAGTCACCGAAGGGAAGCTAGTACAAGCCCGGCCAGATCTCAACAAAAGCATGTCTGGGTTTTGAAGAAACGATCTGATCTGACGGTTCTCCTGATGTCAAACAAACTATAAGATCAAGAATATGGGATGCATCGTATTCCTGTTTCATTTTCCTGATTTGTTTTGGACAAAGCAAAGAATTCCATGACCGGTTTGTTTCTACGTTTCTCCTTAAAATGAGTCAATAACAACCTGTTGAATTGAGAGCTCTAATTACTGGACTGTTGCTTGCTTCCATCTGTGGATTTAGAATGGGCTTTAGGTTGATTTTAGAGCTCTAATTACTGGACTGTTGCTTGCTTCCATCTGTGGATTTAGAATGGGCTTTAGTGGTAACTTTTTGGGTACAAAAATTGGGCTCATATTGTCTGATAAGGTTTTGCTAAAAATGCTTGCAAGTTGGAAGACTTAAAAAAAATGATAAAACAAATAATTTTTGGTTGCTTCCTTATTATTGCTTGAATGTCAATTTCTTTTTGATAATTATCATTTTAATGAATATCCACTTCGAAATCTTTGGTGGAATATATATATATATATATTACCAATTTCAAGATAAACTCTTCCAAGAATGGATAAACACGAATTGACATCACACACGTTTTTCATTCATGAGGAACCAATGCCTTCCTTCAGAAAATTTAAATCTTACATATGATTCTAAAATTTATTTTTCGCTCTTAGATAAGATTCTAAAGTTTTTCTTTATCGCGCTATGAGAATTTTGAATTAATACTTATATATATTAAAAAAAAAAAAGAAAAATATTGATGAATTCAATATTATTTTTGGGTATTAACTTTAAGTAAATATAAAAAAAATCGTAGGATTTATCAATTTTATTTATAAAAATAAATTTTTAAAAATTTTTTTATTTTAAAATTTTAAAGGGTGTGTACTTTTTTCATTTTTTTTTATTTTTCAATTTTTGAAGATTTGTAAAGAAAATTTTAAGGATATTTAAAATTTTTTTCTTTAATTTTTTTTAATTTTTAATATTTGAGATGTCTATGTAGAAAAACATTATCAAAATTAATAATTTTATTATCTATAAATTTTGAGTTTTTGACTCACTGATTAAGAACTACCGGGAAATAAGGAAAGAAGAGATTCCCTAAAATCTTGATTTGAGATTGGAATATCAATATCTTTCTCTTAATATTGGCTTTGCTTCATGCTGAATCTGAACCTATATGGCAAGATTTTGATCGCTTAAAATTATGTTGATTAATAATATTGAGTTTGCTTAAAATTCCAGATTTGACTTTGGTACTTATTTAGAAATTCATTCTGCCTGGTTTTGAATAGAAAACAAAAAAAAAAAAAAGTAAATGAAGAAGAACAAACAAATGCAGAATCCGAAACTACCCATTGCCAGTTCAGTGACAGTGCACCAAGTTGTAATTCCAACATGTTCTGATTTTCCTCTAAGCGCATAATTATATGACCAAAGGCAAACGTTTTCAATTTACTCGATTAATTAAATAATTTAAAATAAGATACGATGATAAAATATAAATATAATATAATTTAAAATTTTAATAATTATTATATATAAATTTAATAAAATAAAAATATATTTTATATTATTATATTAATATAAATTATGATATATAATTTTTATATAAAATATAATATAAATTTATAAATTTTAATATTTTATACTATATGAAGAATCACCGTATCTATTTTTATATGAAATTTCCTTCATTCTCTACTGATAATTCACAAACAAACTTTGTGCCATTCACAGAAAGTTGCACACCAAAAAAAAAAAAAAGAAAAAAAAAACCATTGGTTTTTTCTTTGAATTTGTTCAATCTTAAATCTATAGTATTAAATATTAAGTATTATATATATATAATCATCCAGTTAAACCACCAAGCAACAAAGCTTAAGCCAAAAAATTTAGTCCTCCAAATATAGTAATTAGCAATTATTATATCAATTAGAAAATAAATCCTTTTATTTCATTATTGATTCATGGATGCTGATTCATAATTGAAGACTCAAACCCAAACACAAACACAAACACAAACACAAACAAAGAAGCCAACCTAAATCTTGATCATGCTTTATCTTCGATAAACTCTCATTCACCAACTTTTCTTTTACACAACAGCTTCGGTTCGTCTCAGGTTTCAGACATAGAGATGACCACGTCAGTTTCTTATACGAGTTTGAAAGACTTGTTGCCTACATCACCGCCAGCGATCACTTCACCAACACATAATTCGAGTTGGCATGAAATTCCCATAAAAAATCCGCTTGTTAAGCATGCTGCGTTGGCTTATTTGCACATGTCGAGTCCCCCGGAGGTTGGAGAAAAGGGTTTGTTTGGGAGGCTTAAAGAAAGGTGTTGCGGTGAATGTGGGTGCTTTTTGTGGCTATATGATTTCGTTTGGAGGAACGTCAAGGAGGCGGTTTGGGAAAGGATAGAAGAGATTGATGATGATTTTTATGACGATGATGAAGACAAAGTTGACTGAAACTGAGATGGCAACTCGTTTCTTTTTTCTCTAACTCAGGGGAGGTTGTGGTTTGACCGGTGGATAGTGGTTCAATTTGTAAATATAGATTTTTTTTTTTGGGTTTTTCATTAAAGAAATTTTTTTTGGCTTTTTGCATGTGCAAGTACAGAAAAAAAAGTATTGCAAGGTTCAAATATTCAACAGTTCAACCTACTTGATTGGAGGAGATTCAAGTTGTCATGTTCTTGTGCAGCTAATTAGTATATAATTTTAGATTTCTTATTTTTTCTTTAAGTTACATTAAGTAATTTAATTAATTTGCAGTAAACCATTCTTAGCATATATTATTATAAATGTGTTACGTGAGTTTCGTTATGTTCTTTGACATTCCATCTGTCATTATAAAAGCATCAATTTTGTTCTTAATTACATGCACATAGATCAGGTGAACTACATATGCAGCAATCTTGACCAATGAAGTGGAATGGGGAGTTTATATAGCTCATTAACCCAAAGTTTCTTGTGGTGGATAATCTGAAATATCACTCTTAGAATTCTCCAGTTTAGAATCTTTACCATGTTGGGGAGGAAGGTTTGATGGTTGGCCAAGATTTGTTTTCTCACATGTTTGATTAAATGCTTTGTCCCAAATACATTTAAGTCGATGCCACCAATTCATCTATGACTAGCACATTTTCATAACACAAGAATGACAAACTTTTCTTAACAAAGTGCGAGGAACAGTATGCCTGTCTACACGCATGTTTGGACAGAGTCAAAAGGTGCTTGACTTGATTTATTAGCTTTTAATTTTCAGTTCTTTTTGTTATCCAAAATGTTGCACGTCACGAAAGGGTAGGAAAGTTCACCAAAACTTCGAGGAGCTTAGGTGTTTGTCTGTAAACAAAATTGTTTCTTTAATATCTAATCTGTTTTTTTTCAAATGTAATTGATGGAAGTGAATGAGTAGGTGGAAAATGGGGATGTAATCATCTTTCTACGCGTAATCAACACTTTTTTTCTTTACTTTTGCATTTAATTAGTTCTTTGTCGGATTTTCATGTTTTAAATGTTCTGTCTTTCTAACACCTGTCAGTCAAATGGGAAGGTGAAACGAAATTCGTAATGAGAAAGTCTGAACGTGGGATGTTTCAACCAAATCATGTCGGTAAAAGTGGAAAAGGAAATTCTCAAGATACATTTACCAGAAGTCAGTATACGATTTGTTAGAGAAACTGAGTTGACAAAGATGACAAACTCTGTGACACTGTTTTTTTTAGGAGGGCAACATTTAAGTGGCACCAACAAGGCTACAACACGAACTGATGAAGTCTTGGAATGTAGATTTGTAGCAAGAAAAGTCTAGAAAAATTGTAAAATCTTATTGCTATCATTTTGATATATACAATGTCTCTGTTCATTTGTACAATACATATAGGAGGTCTTGTACAATACATATAGGAGGTTTGTTTACAATTGTAATTCTAGCTAAGATTGGTACAGAACAGCAGCTATCACCAATAATCTCCACAAGAGCAATTTCCATCTTGAAAGTGGTGAAATACCTTGCAGTCTCCGACTACTATCTCTCTTTTAGTAATCTTTGATATCTTCTTTGCAACATTGTGGCAATCCTCGCAAATTCTAATGCTTTTTCTAATAACAACAGGGGACCCTAACTTTGTGGAGATCAATCCAAAAGAGATGGCCAATCTTACACTATGATTCTCGGGTGAGTTTGGTCTTTTCCTTGTCAAATCTTTTCTTCTCAACTTGGTAATGCTACGAGCATAAACATCTTGCTCTTCCCCAGTCATTCTCAAGATGACGTCCATCACATCCTTGATCATGTTCATTTGGGCATTTGACCCGTCTAGATCAATAAATCTGTGAATTTTATAGTCTGTCTCAATCGTGCTACATCCTGTTGTTTTTGCTAGGCCTTCCCTAATCATAAGACTTTTGATCCTGTCTACATCTCCCCACCTCCCAGCTTCAGCATACATATTAGAAAGCAAGATGTAACACCCTGTATTATCATGCTCTAGTGATAAAGCATGCTTGGCTGCAACTTCTGCTAATTCTATGTCATTGCTCTTTCTACTTGCGGCTAGTAGAGAACCCCATATCCTGGCGGTTGGTACAAGGGGCATTTCTTCAATAAAATGTTTAGCTAGATCAAGGTTCCTTGTTCGACCAATAAGATCAAGCATACAACCGAAGTGCTCTATTCCTGGATCAATACCATAGTCTTTTTTCATTGAATTAAAGTATTCCCACCCTTCATCAACCATGCCAGAAATGCTGCAAGCTGATAATAGGGAAACAAAAGTGCTCTTGTTCGGCTCAATACCATTTTCTATCATTTCAAGGAACAACTGAATGGAACTTCCCCCAAACCCATGAATGGCATAAGCCATAATGATTGCGTTCCATGAGACAACATCTTTACAAAACATGCCATCAAAACATCTCCTTGCAGTCTGGAGATCTCCACACTTGGCATACAAGTAAGTGATTGAATTCAAGATGATGGTATTAGAACTAAGCCCCAGTTTTATAATAAAAGCATGGATTTGCCTACCCTCAGTCAAGGAGGTTAATTCAGCATATGCTGGTAGGACACTTGCAATTGTTATTGCATCGGGTTTAAAAGATTCATACAAAATGAGCTGGAAAAGTTCCAAGGCTTCTGTGTACTGTTCATTCTGTACATTAGCAGCCATCATTGCATTCCATGATGCCAAGTTCTTCTCATTGATTCCTGCAAAGACATGTTCAGCCAATTTCAACTTCCCACACCTTCCATACAAGTCAACCAGAGCGGTCTCCAACACTAGATGAGGGAGAAACCCTTTTCTGATTGCACTAGCATGAATAGACTTACCCATCAAGAGTGCTCCCATATGTGCACAAGATGGAAGTAAGTTTATCATTGTAATGGCATCTGGCCTCAACTTACCAACCTCTTGCATCTTCTTAACACAAGAGAATGACTCATAGAAACAACCATTAAAAACATACCCAGCAATCATAGCATTCCAAGCAACAATGTTTTTGTGAACAATCCTGGTGAATACCCTCTCCGCATAATCCACATTACCACATTTCCCATACATATCAATCATTGATGTCTCAACCATAAGATCGATTTCAAATCCACTTCTAATAACCTGACAATGAATCTCTTTCCCATTTCTTCCACAACCCTCAATTGAACAAGCTCCGAGACCACTAATAAAACTGAACGCATCTGGTCTTATTCCTTCCAAAACCATTTCCCGCAACAAACACAATGAACTCAAGCCATCACCAATTAATTGGTACCCAGAAACCATAGAATTCCAAGAAACCAAGTCTCTCACAGGCATCTCCTTGAAAATTTTCTTACCCGATTCAACACACCCAAGTTTCATATACATAGAAACAAGAGAGTTGCAAATATAAACATCTAAATCTAACCCAACCTTAACCAATTTTGCATGAACTTTTCCCCTTCTTTCAAACACAATAACCCTGCACAGGCTTTGATCACAAAGGGGTACGTATATTTGTCAGCTCTAACTCCTTCGAACTCCATTCTGTGAGAAAAATAAATTGCCTCATCAAACAACCCATTATTGACAAACCCCTTAATCATGAGAGTCCACGTGTAGGTTTCTGAGTGGTTCATTTCTTCAAACAAGTAGACTGCATTTTTCATCGACCCAGAATCAATAAAAGCCTGGAGAGCACGCGTGAGGGTCGGATTGTTTGGTCGAATCAAGGCTTCTGATGTTTCAGATTGATTGCCACGTATGCGCTTTGGTTTTGAAAATCTTGGCTTGGTCATAGCATGAGGGTTTTGGTTTGTCTTCCTCGTTTCAAATTGGTTTCGGGAAACGATTTTGGCTGCCTGGGAATTGTGGAAGCAGTTATGAGCTAGTAGTGTTGCAGCCATTTTCAGGTTGATTTCAGTTTTCAAGAGAAGATATCCAATAGAAATCGAGGGCTTTTCTCTTTCGACTTCTGGGCGGGCGGCATACACTGACCATTAATCCTTTTAAACAGAGAGCGGCATTTTGATTTTGCATAATTGAGGCTTTATTTTCGTATCATTTTATTAGTAATTTATTATCAAAACGGCAGCGTTTTTCAAAAGTAAAAAGAAATTGCAATTTATTGTGGAAGACTACAAATTTGTGTATTACTGGCAAGTTTTTTATTTATCATTTCTTTTTTTTTATATAAGATTTTCTTTTAATATGATTTTTTTTAATTTTACGTAAATTGAGTTTTTATAGTATTAATTAAAAGAGGTAAAAACTAAAACTTCATTAATAATTATTTATAAATTAAATATTTTCTTATTATATTTTATAATTACAATTCAAATATATATATATATATATATTAATAACACACATTTAAAAATGCATATTAGTAATAATTGGATTTAATTATCTAATGTTTATTTATGTTTTTCATTATTTGGATAAAAATATAAAACTTAAAAAAAGAGTTTTCGTTTAAAAAATGGGTCGGGTTTTGGTTCATTCAAGGTTTGAGCCCGATTTATACAACAAAATTTTTAATTATATAATATAATAATATATTATATTTATATTTATATATTATGCAATTTATACTTTACAAAAGATAAATAAATATAATATTGCATTGTAAATCATATAAATTATGTTGAATTATTCATGTTTTAAAATTTAATAAAAAATATAATTACATAAGATTAAATAAATACATAACATGCTTTTATTTTTTAATTTGTTTAAAAAAATAATTTAGAAAGATTTAGATTGTAACATTATAAATTTAAATGAATTTAAATAAAATTTGATGCGCAAATTATTAAATCGGGCCAAACTTAAACATATGCATATATATATATAATATTGATATAACATCTAAACTCGAAGTCTCAGTTCACGATAAGTTTTATTTAATCCGTTTAATTTTTTATGTTTATATTTGTAGCAAACTAAAATTATTTGTGTTATATGCGGAAACAAAGACAAATCAATCGTTCAAAGGGAAAACAAGAATCTAATCAATACGGTAGTTACATCAGAAATTTCTAAAACTCTTCGGCTAAAATGAAAAAAAAACCCTAAATCCTTCTAGGGTTCCTTGCTTGGAAATAAAAAATTGTCAAAGATCATCATTTCTGTTTTGACGGTAAGTTCTTCTTCCAATATTCTTGTTAGTCTTCCACTTAATAAAGTAAAATATACATATTTTTACATGTTCCATAATGATTTTACGGATGGAAATGAATTTTATAGTCACAGTCATTCGAAATAAACAAGTCCTATTGTTATTTGTTCTACGACGTAACAGTTTCTTTTTTTTTTTTATCATTATTTTTTGCTTTTCAGTAATCTGATTTTCCCCTCTTTAGAGCCTGTAAAATCGAAGAAACTCATCAGGAATGGCAGCAAGTGAAGAAAGAATGGCACGAGCATGTGCGGCAATGGAAAGTTTGTATGGCACTCCAGCAAAAGCAGTGAGGAACGCGGTAAAGCAACTTTTGAAAGTTTACAATAACAAATGGGATTTTATTGAGGATAATAATTACAATGTTGTTTTCGAGTATGTACAAGAGGATATAAAAGATCAGGAAGATAAGGTATCCCTTGATTAATTTCATTAATTTTAAAATAAAACTAGCTGTTGATTTCATCGTTAGTTTCATTGAAACATGAGGTTTTAATATTTTCATGTTTATGATCAGAATGCAAAATTGAAGAGGATTGAATCTGATGATGAGATAGATATCCTGGGTTTAAGAAATTATGGGACTTCCGGTAGTAAAGCAAAAGGACTTAACAATCTTCAGATTCAAGTTTATGATCAAAATGTAAAAGTAAAGGACCAGGTTATTGAGTTATGCTCTGATGATGATGAGGGACCAGATATTCCACCGAAAAGGGGATGGAGGGAGATAAAAGAGGAGTCTGTTCAACCATATCCCTGTAAAAGACCAAAGACATCTAACTCTGGGACAGCCAAGGATAAAGAAAAAGAAGCAGATGATCTTCAGATTCAGGTTTATGATCAGAGTGGAAAATTCAGGAACAATATTGAGTCCTGGTTTAGATCTGATGATGAGCAAGAAGAGGTTCCAATGAAAAGGAACGAAACCAGGAATTTAACACAAAGGCGAGCACTCTTAACTGATATTGTTTCTTCTAAGAATGAGCTCACATTGTATGAAGAGGACCAGAGACAGCCATTCCTTGAATCTATATCATCAGATAATGAGACTCCTATTGCTGTTAACCATCAAGGTATTCTTCTATTTCCAAATAGCTAGGCAGCTATATTTGTAACTGATTTCAATAGCAATGATCCATATATATCTTTCAATCACTCAGCAAGAACATTTTCAAAGACATTTTCTTCATTCGTTTCAGTGGTGTATTTGAATTTGGTCATTTACATATACATGTTAAGATAATTACAGTATGTAGTATTTGTAAATACTTCAATAGTTTTCATGATGATCCTTTAATTAGTTTGGCCTAGTGCTCTTCCTTTTTGATACGTTCTTGTCTTGTTTCCATTCAATACATTTGTAAAACTGCTACTTTTGCAGATTGTCCAGAAACTTTACCTGGATTTGTTTCTTCTAGTGGAAAAAATACTAATAGTAAGTTGGAGGGGTCTATTTTGGAGTCTAAAATTCTAGATTTGAGGGGTGAATGTTCTCATAATTCTGAAACATCACAGTTTGATATTGTTTCATCTGACAATGGAGCCGTCAAAATCTCCTTGCTATACAACTCTTCTAGAAAAGCCAATTTGGACAGACCAAATCTGAAAGCAGTTACAAAGAGAGTAGAGAATAAATACCGAAAATTCTATGGAATCACAGATCCAGATTTCTCTGTGATGAAGCTGATGGAAGATATTTGCAAATGCTTTTCGGAAATAGCAGGAGGTAATAAAGGGGGTAGTGAACGGGTAACACAAATTTCCAGTACATATAACAATTCTGGCGGACAAGATAATGTAAACACCAAAGATGCCTGCCAAGACAGCTCTAGCATGCAGCCAAGCCATACAAATGAATCTGCTCTGACTTCAAATACATTTGATAAAGAAACCCAAATCTCCCAAGTGGTAACTCTTGATGTTCCAAGTCACGTTAATGGCTGCATTGACAGACACACTAGGAATTTTTGTTTTGTAACTGAAATGGAGACAAAAGTCATTATCAATAAGGCTTCAAACTCAAGCAGATTGAAGGCTGTTATGAAGCATCGGAATCATCTGTCAGACATAACCCGTGGTGAGGAAAATGTGCAAATTCCCTTGTTAAATGACAATGGTGCCAAGGAATTGCCAAAATTCTTTTACATTTCTAAGAACGTAGCATTCAAAGATGCCTATGTGACTTTTTCACTAGCTCGAATATCTGATGAGAACTGTTGTTCACAATGTATTGGGGATTGTCTGTCATCAGAGCTCCCTTGTGCATGCGCTGGTGAAACTCGTGGGGAGTTTGCTTACACACCAGGAGGATTGGTAAAAGAAACGTTTCTAGATGAAGCCATAACTATGTCACAGAAACCGAAAAAACATCACTTTTATTATTGTCAATATTGCCCATTGGAGAACAACACATTAGAAAAGTACAAAAGAAAGAGGTCATGCAAGGGTCACCTGATGAGAAAGTTTATTAAAGAATGCTGGAACAAGTGCGGATGCAACAAGAAATGTGGAAATCGGGTTGTTCAACGGGGCATAACAGCTACATTGCAGGTTGATTTCTTGACTCGGTTATTTTATCATTAGAATATGCCTATTTTTACTAGCAATTTGCTGTGTGATTTAGGTGTTTAGCACCCCCGAAGGAAAGGGTTGGGGGCTTCGATCTGTCCATGCATTGAAGAAAGGAACATTCGTTTGTGAGTACGTTGGGGAGATTGTAACCAATCAAGAACTACATTTGCGAAATAAAAAGAGAAGTGGTAAGGAAGAGCATACGTATCCGGTGTTATTGGATGCAGATTGGGGTTCCGAACGTGTTTTGAAGGATGAAGAAGCTCTTTGTCTGGATGCGACAAAGTACGGAAATTGTGCCAGATTTATCAATCATAGGTAATTTATACATTCATATCTATTCATTTCTGGTTTATATATATATATATATATATATATATATATATCTATTTCATTCATATTTTCATTTCTTTCCACATTTCTAATTCATTTGACTTTGGCTAATATTTTCGTGACATATACATGTGACAGGTGCGTTGATGCCAATTTGGTGGAGATCCCTGTGGAGATTGAGACTCCCGATCATCACTATTATCATGTGTGATTTTAGTAATTAAATTTAACTTTTCCTTTTTAACCAATCTTGCACTTCTTAAAAATAAGTAAATGGTTTATAAGCTCATATATATTTCTCTTTCTGAATGACAAACAGCTTGCTTTTTTCACGACTAGAAATGTTGAACCTATGGAAGAATTGACTTGGGTAAAGTATTTTTTTCTCTTTGATTTTTATTATAATACAAAATATTGTATAGTACTTTTACTTAACAATTATTTTTGATTAATTGCAGGACTATGGTATCCAGTTTGATGACAAAAATCATCCTATTAGAGCATTTAATTGCACGTGTGGAAGTAAATTTTGCCGTGACCAAGAAAATTTTTAATGATATTAGTCTTTTTTAAATTCCTTTTCTATTCAATTTTAGATGATATGATTAACTTATCATAGGAATAAGCCTTATTTAGATTTTGAAATTCTAACTTTACAAAAAGAAAAAATTTAATTTTGTTCTTGTAATTTTTTCTATTTTATATACACTCATATAATTAATATACAAATTTTCAAAATTTTATTATAACTCATAAAAATTTTAATACTGTCCACTTAAATCTGATTTAAGTGCAAACCAAAAGCAGCATTAATGAGGCTTAATTAGATTTTAAAGCACATCTTTAGCAGTTTGTAGAAAATTACAAAAAAGAAAAAAAAAAAAGCAGTGTTACTGCAAAGTTCCAAGGAAATAAGCTACAGGAATGTCAATCAAATGTACAAGAAAATGTTTCACAATCATTAAAACATTTCAAAAAAGAAAAAATTACATCATTTTCTTGTAAAATTTTTTAGCTTCATGTTAAAGTTATGCATGTTTTACACCAACAGGTTCAGGAATTTGCAGAGTTTTAGATCAAATCATCATTCCTCAGGAATGCTTTGAAGCTCAGTACTCCAAGAATGCTGACTCTTGTTTATTGCATTGGACCTCATAAGATATTTTCTTCGCAGAAGATTTAAACGTTCTTCAACAGAAAGAGATGGTGACTGGTTTGCACTAATCCTACCACCATTAATGATTTCCAGCATTTGCTTCAAATCATGCTTCCTTACTACAATCTTCATCTTCACAACTCCATCCTCATTGATGTGAGAGACAACACCTCCATTATTAACCTGTGCAATGGCTTCTAATAACAAATTGCTTCTCAAAGCTTTCTGATTTCGGCCTCTTAACTGTTTGAATTCTCTCTTTGGCGATGATGCTTTTCCTTCCATTTTTCACTGTCTATACTTTTTTCTTTATCTGTTTCTGTTTCAATGGAGTGATATTTCGCTTCCAATACCTCTGGCATTTATATATCTTCCATCGAAACTTTCACATCAATGCCAGGTTGGCTAATGAATAATTAAAAAAGGGTTTAAGTTGCAACTGAAAGAACTTAGAAAAAGGAAAAAAAAATGCTTAGTAGTTGATCATATTGGTAGAGTACCAAAAATGTCCGATGATCTCTAATCCAATGCATGTGCCATTTCATATAAAAGTCAAAAGAACCAATAATGTATTTGCATTGAGCCTTACCTCATTTGTCAAACAGACTCGTTTTCTTGTAAAATGAAACAAACCCAAGAATTCCTTTTTAATTCTACCATTCTTCATTAATTTATTCAAAGCTTTGTTAATAAACGTAGATCAGATAGGCAACCGCTCAACCGATTTTCTCATGCAAAAAAACCCTTGTTGTTGAGCTGGAATGATCAACTCGTTTACGTGATAATTTTGAAGAATCAGTAGTCTGATACAACATTCTTTGAGAGAGAAAAAAAAGGGTGACAGTGTTTGAGAGAATGCATAAGGTGGGTGAGCACATTTCAAAGCAATTCAGATGCAGTCTAAATGCAAATTGTCAAATCGTTGAGCTGTGAATAGCTGTCTTTGTGATCAATCATTCTTGTCTCAGCTAACTCCAATTCTGATTTCCTACCTGAGTGTTTAATCAATGTATTTATATACTTAAAAGATGCACCAACCCCTATTTATGCTTTAAAATATTAGGCAAATGCCTTCTTTTGTGGTAATAGCATTAGATGATCACCAATATAGGTTTCATTTCAAGTATATATTATTGGCTCCTCATCAAAAACCATTATTCGCCCTTAATTAAGTCACCAAGTACAACTCAATGAAGTCATGGTTTAATAGCAATGAAGAGGTTCTAAATCATGAGATTTTAGGATTAAGTTACATGGTGTATGAATTTAATTATTTAATTATATTTTAATTCGTTAGTTAATTATTCAGTAATATATTATATATGAACATAATAGTTGATTATGTATTTATAATTTTTTTAAAAATTGCTAAATATAAGAAACTTTAGCTTAAATGATAGATAATTTAGTATTTATCAAAAATGATAGATGGTTTAATTGTGATTATGACACATAGGAAGTTTGGGTTTTAGTAGTAATAAGGTTGTAAAAAAAAAACTAAAAAAATTATAACGGTAGCTTTTTTATAATTAAAATTATTAAAAATTATCATATATTAAAAAAATGTGTTCTTAATTGGATTCTAAGCAGTGATATATAAATCTCATAAACATCAAGAGTTTCTAATGCAACCATAACTCATTGAACAATAAATCAGAATAAGTTATCAATTTTATTTGGAATTCTAGCGTTGAATTTGAGATTTGGGGATTTTTTCTATGTAATTAATAGTCCATGCTAGGTTTTTGCAATTTTTTTTTCTGTTTTTTCGGTGGTCAAACTCAAAAGAAAGACGAAAAGAACGCAGCCGGACAACTCAGCCCAACCCTAGTTGCTCGATCGATCACCGTCAAAGCCCAACCCCATTTGAATTTGTGTCTCCGCTTCCCCACTCTTATTGCACTCTTATTTTGTTGAAATGACAATTTGAAAAATATGATCCCATAATTATTCATTGAATTCAATATTTGAATGTATAGTAGGTGCACAATTTTATCCATGATCAATTAAAAAATAATGAAACTTATCCATGATCTGTATCAAATTTTATCTCCATCAATTATTTTCTTGAATGATAGTAAATGTAAATTTTTTTTTTGGTAAAAAAAGTTATTCTAGTTCAAAACAATTGAATTTAAAAATAAAATTATTATGAATTCAAATTTTAATTAAGTTAATTTATACATTTATTTTTTAAAAAATGACATTTATTTTATATAAATATATAAAAGCCAAAACTTTTGATAAAAAAAATTTTCAAATGTGGATAGTTTATATTATTGACATGTAGATGATATTGAAAATCGTCATGTGTCTTGTATTTTATTTTATTTCAATTATTTTAAAAAATTAAATTATTTATATTTATTTTATATTATTATTTATATTAAATCACTCCTAATTAAATTTATATTCAAAGTAATAAAACATTAATTAGGATCATCATAGAATAATTTTATGTCCTTTTTTTTTCAATTACAATATTTAACTCTTAAATTACATTTGTTGTCATTATATATAGATCCGTAAATTTATAGTTAGACTTAACAAATGAATGGAATCGTTACCAATCTTTTTTAACTATGTGTGATTGGTCACCTATGGATTCTATCCTCTTAAGGAGCTCCTAAGTTTAATTAAGGGTTACTAAAAGAATAAGTTCAGAATTTTTGTTAGTTTTATTTTTTTGTTGAAAATATATCTAATTATTCCATTATTTTGGACAAATTAGAAATATTTTCTTGTTTTGAATTTCTAATTGTTTCACCATTTAGGCTTATTTAGAAATTCTTTTTAATTAATTTTTTTTGGAAAGAAAATAATATAAAAATTATTTTTATTGAAATTTTATCTAAATTATTCCACAATTTGAGACAAATTTAAAGAAAATTTCTCACCTAGAGATTTCTTAAAAATTTACCATTTGAAATTTCTAAGAATCTCATTATTGAGTAATTATCACATATTTTCAACCAAAATTTTATTTGGAAAAGAATACAATTACTTGTATTGAAATTTTATCTAAATTATTTCATCATTTGGGATAAATTTAGATAAAATTTCTCACCTAAAAATTTTATAAAAATTTATCATTTGAAATTTTAATAAATTTCATCATTGGATAATTAATATTTATTTTCAAAATTTATTATTTTTATTTTTTTCCTAAATTTAATCATAAAAAATTACTAACAAGAAAAAAAAAACTAAGAAAAATACTAAAAAATAAAATAAAATAAATAAATAAATACCAAAGAAAAACAAAAAAAAAAAAGCTAAGCTGGCGGCTGGATCGGCTCGGCTATAAACACAGAAAGTGGCTAGAAGGCATGGCTCAGCTCAGTGACGAGATTAGGCTGGGACGAGGGTCACAGAAGCGGGTTGACGTGCCGGTTGAGTCACCGGCTAGAAAACGAGCGGATCTTGAGATTTACTTAGATGTAAAATGACGTCATTTTCAATGGGTATATAAGGCTAATTCTTAGCTTTTTCAGCAGAATTCTTTTTCCCCTTCTCTTTATTCCCCCTTCTTTTCTCTCTTTCTCTCTATACCTTAATGAACTCCGATTGAATCTTTCATCGGATTCTGAAGAATGTCATCAGAATCTGGGTTGGATCATTGGACAATTATTGAAAAATTTAAATTTCGTCGAAATCTTCATCGAATTTTGAAACCTACCAAAAAGTTCAACTGGTGTAAAAAAACTTGACAAAAATTCAACCGGCCTGAAAATTTTCGTTGGAATCTAAAAATTTTCCAAAAAAAAATCTGCCAAAAATTCAAAAAAAAATTCTTAAAATTTTTAAATTGTTTCTGCTCTCATAAACACCTTTTTTGGCTTTTGTTTTCTGTATTTTTTGTGTGTATGATCTGTGTTTTTGTGTGTTCCTGCCTCTGATCGGTATGGGTATTTATAACCTATGATCAGAAAAGTTTCTGATCAATCATAAATCTCACTTTTAATTGAATTTTCTCCTTATCCCTGAACCTAATGAGATTAAAACCAATTGTGATTCTACCAGTATCTCATACACGGCATAATCTTCTTTTTTTATTATTTTTATATTTTTTTAGCTATTATCCAATTATAAAAAATAAAATAAAAATCAGAATAAGAATAAAAACAAACAATTAGGCCTGACTTCTTAAATCCCATTGAGTTAGGCCTAATGGGTTGAGGTCCACACTTTATTGAACGAGGCCTAATGGGCTTAGATTTGGACCAATTAGGGTGTTTACAATTACCCCTCTTTACGCATTTCTTGTGCAACAAGAATTGTGCAAAGACGTAGACACCCTGCATATGATTATCCCAACATATTCATTTTTTTTTAAATAAACAAAGCTCATCTAAATAGAGGCAATAGAATTTCGAAAAAATAAATTGCTCTTTTAAATATAGGCAACACAACTTTGAAGAATAAATTGGTCCTCTAAATAGAGGCAACAGAACTTTGAAAAAATAAATTGTTCCTCTAAATAGAGGCAACCTAACTTTGAAAAAATAAATTGCTCCTCTAAATAGAGGAACAAAACTTTGAAAAAATAAATCACTCATCTAAATAGAGCCACCATAACTTTGAAAAAATAAATTACTCCTCTAAATAGAGGTAATAAATTACTTCTATAAATAAAGGCAATAACGACTTTGAAAACATAAATCGTTCCATTAAATAGAGGCAACCATAACTTTAAAAAATAAATTGCTCTTCTAAATAGAGGCAACCATAACTTTGGAAACATAAATTGCTCCTCTAAATAGAGGCAAGCATAACTTTGAAAAATAAAATACTCCTTTAAATAGAGGCAACCACAACTTTAGAAAAAATAAAATGCTCATTGACAATCACATCCAAAAGAGTTATGGATCAAATCTGATGAAATTTGTAATGAAAACTCAAAGATTCACAATTGAGTTCAAAAATCAAAGGTTTAAATTCGTAAAAACCTTTCATCTTCACAAGAATTTACTGAAATTTGATTATCAAAATTTTAGTTTCACCAAAATTTGATTCGTAAAATTTCAGATGTGCAAGAATTCAGATCTGTAAGATTTTAAAATTTGTATTTGCAACTTGCAAGACTCGCATCCAACATTTAAACATTCTTATTTGAACTTTAGAGATCATATATAAAAGTTTAAAGCTTTTCATTCGAGTTCAAAGCTTTTCATTCGAGTTCAAAGATTCACATTTGATAAATCTGAGGGTTTAACATCTCAAAGATTCTTGTTTGAAATTCAAAGATTTGCATTTGAGAACTTAAAAATTTTTATCAAAAGATTCATAATTTTTTTTTAAAGGACTCAAAATTTTGCATGTAATGAATGTTATGATCAATGATGCAAATGCTTTTTTAATGATGCAAATACAACAATCTAGATTTTCACAATGCCATATTCTTAACCATGATTCAAATGTCTATTACATAATGCAAATGCATATCTAAACCAAAGTTTCAAATAGTCTCCAAACAATAATGCAAACGTTCTACATGTAATGTGTATGTCAATGTCATGAAATTCTAATCAAAACGCGGTAATATGGTTCTCAAGACTCCACCTTCTCACATTTTCTCCTTGTTCAATTTTTCAACACTTTAGAATAAGTTTCATCAACTGATCATCATTTGACCACCATTTATAGGCTTCTCAGCACTAATAAATTTTAGAATAAATTCCGTCCACCATCACTGGGTCACTACTCATAGGTAGAGGTGTAAATGATACATTAGTACTCGCAAGTTACTCGGGTTCGATTCGAAAAAAACTCGAATTCGATTCGATTATTGTCGAGTCGAGCTCGAGCTCGAGTAGCTCGACTTATCGATCGAGCCGAATTCGAGTATTCTTATATCTGACTCGAGTAGCTCGCGAGCCTAATCGAGCTTTTATATTTAAATATATTTTTTTAATTAATAAAATATTTTGAATCCGAGTTCGAGTTCAAGTTCGAGCATGAATAATCGAACTCTTATCGAGTATAAGAATCGAGCTTATTTTTACATATTAATCGAGCTTAATCGAGCAAGCTCGAGTAGCTCAAATTCGATCACGAATCGAGCTCGAACTTGAAAAATAAAACTCGATTGAGCTCGAACCGATTATCAGAGCCATTCAAAATCGAATTTCAGTCGTCGGCTATCGTTTATAGCCTACTCATAGGATGTCTCAGTATTAGCCATTCCAAAATAAATTTCGTCGTCCAATCACTAGGTCACCACTTATAGTTTCTTAGCCCTAACCATTTCAAAACAAACTTCGTCCATTGATCCATATAATTTTCATCATTCAATCATCAGACTATGTCGATTAATTCATCCCCATATTCATCATTTGGTCATACCATTTTTTTCAAATTATCTCTTATTTAGGTTTCTACCATCTCTTTATTTTCTCTTATCATCTTGGATTTCTTTTCAAAGAAATACAAGATTCTTTTATGCTCATTGTCATTCATTCATCATTACTCCAAATCATGACAAATATAATGCACTCATACATCTTCTCAATTTATTCTGGGGATGCAATAATAAAAGAACACAAGTTGAATTGAGGGAAAGACAATCAATGAGGAACGAGTTTGGTATCAAAAAAAATGGGAAAAAAAACAAATTTAATGCATGTCATTGGAGAATCGTATATCAAACAATGAATATTTAGACAATTCTAAACATTAATCCAGGATTTTTTTCAAAAACTTATTCAATTGACTATCAAAATCATTTTGAGCTCATCAAACCTTGCTCCAGCCTTAGAAGATCTTCAGATATCTTTGATCTTTCATATATGTAAACTGTCAACTCAGAGATTTTCTACCCAAATCGCCCTTTTGGATTTTCAATTTGAGTATTCTTTTTCTCTCCTTTCTATTTTTTTTCTCTTTCTTTTTTTTTTAACCTTTTTTTTTCATTTTTTTCATTTTTTTTCTTTCTTTTTCTTTCTTTTTTTCTTTTTTTTCTCTTTTTTTCCTTCCTTTATTCATTCATCCATCTTTCACATCAATCTTTAGAGCAACCAAGCATGATTCTGTCATTTCATCATGAGCATGTTTTAGCTCAACATATGACCATTCAATTCGAGTATTCACATTTGATCCAAATGAACGTTTTAAAGGTTATAATGTAGGCCATGGTGAAAGGTCATGAAAGAAATGGATATAATAAGCTCAAAATATGAATTAAAAGGGTTCAAAACTAAAGGATCATCACTTGATGCGACTTGACATTTTGCTCCATTATTTCATTGCTTTTTCTTTTTTCACATTCACCTCACTCCTTATAAAAGGATTCATATTACTTTGACCCAAATTATGTGTGATATTTTTCTTTGCTCACTTTTTTTCTTCTTACTTTTTTTTAGATCTTTTATGATCTTTAGGCTTTTTTCTTTCTAAAAAATTATCCTTTAGTGTGAAGAGTGATCTTTGGTCGGGGATTTTTAGAAAAAAAAATCATAATAGGCTCAAAAGGGTAGCAAAGAATGATTTTTCAAATGGTGAAAGAAAGATGATAATTTTTTATCTCAAATATGAATACTTTCCTTGAACATCATCTATTGAACCAAAAAAAACTCATGGATCTCTATAAAGAACTGTATATTTTTAAGACATATCTATTTCACATCATATTGCTTCTTTTACTCAAATAGTCTTTTCAAATCAATATGGATGAGTTCTCAAAATTAAATCTCAAAATTATTGTTATTATTATTTAAACATTTATCATCTGAAATTTGAGAATGGAAATGAAAAGTATGAAAGGTAACAAAGTATGAAACCATGGTTGAATGAAAGAGAAAATGTAATGAAATGCATTATCCTTACTTTTTATTAAAATGATAACAGATGAAATCTTATTGTAAAAACAAAAAAAATCTTGACATTACTCTAAAAGAAATCTTAAAATAACAAGCAACTCTCAATCACCCTTAACATCATTATTCAAAATTATGCCCCTATGCAATCAGGTAAAGGATTGGCATCTTGCCCCTTGATTCACTGTAACTCTTTAGGCTTTTTTGGATCAACGTGTTCTTGATTCTCACTTAGAGCATTGACACTATGATTAGTAATCAATTACCACTAACATTAGGTGTTGTTGCTCATTATTGATCAAAACTTATCATTTCATCCTTGATTAATTGTTGTATCTTATGCTTTAGAGCAGTACAATTCTCAATGAAATGGTTAACAATTTCATAGTGATAGTTACAGTGGGTTGTAAGATCATACCATTTGGGATAAGGTGACTTGAGTAGCTCAACATTACTAGGAGCAATCAAGTGGTTATTGTAGAGCTCTCGATATAACTCTGTATAAGTCATGAGAATTGGATCAAATATAGATTTTTTTCGAGTAATTCGTTACTCTCGTGAACCAGTTGCTAGACTAACAGGATGAATTTGAGGTTTTACGAGAGGTTGAATGTTAAGTCTATATATGAGAGCTTGGGGGCTTAAAACAGACTGGTATGTTAATGACTAAGATAGTTATAGTATAGGTTGGTATAGGTAAGATGGGGTATTGTTCATAGCAGGATAGTATGAGGAATAACCTTATGGTGGATAGGATTATATCTCTTGAATTGTCTATCAAAGCTCAAACTTGATCTTCGACCTCTTTCTTTTCAGGTATCTTCTTAGTTTTGCCTTTTTTTAACTTGTCATTTTTAATGGTATTTTTTATGATTTTGCCTGAGATCACTATATCAATGAAGTTTTTTATTGCATTATCTATCATCTTTTCATAATAAAGAGATTTTAAAGTATTGATGAATAATATTGTAGTCTCCTTCTCAGTTAGAAGAGGCTATACCTGAGAAGCTACATCATTCCACTTCTAGGCATATTCCTTAAATGATTCATTTATCTTTTTTTTTATGTTTTGGAAAGACAAGCAATTAGGGGCTAAGTCTATGATATGTTGATACTAACTGATGAAATCGAGAGTCATATCACTCCAAGAGCAAATATAGATCCTATCTAACTGGACATACCACCTAACAGCAGAGCTTGTAAGGCTATTTTGAAATACAAGCATCAATAGTTTTTCATTATTAGCATGAACTACTATTTTTTTACAATACATGATAATGTGGATCTTCAAACACTTTGTATCATCATACTTCTCAAACTCTTGCACCTTGAACTTCAAAGAAATAATCACATCTAGGACTAAACATAGTCCAGTAGTATTTACAGAATCATAAAAATCAACTTCTTTCACTGCTCATAATCTCTCTTCTAGTATATTAATCTTCTAGTCAACTTTTGAGTCTCTTAGTGACTCATTCTCTTTTTATTTTAACGTTTATTCTCCTTTGGATCGTCCAAATTAAGAATCTAAACTAGTTCTACTGCTTTTTCTGTAAAGATAAAAATTACATAACTCTGATATTGACCAAGGTTTGAAGCTGATGGTATTTCATGGTATGTGTGCCCTATTGGATAAGTGAACTGCTGTGGTAGTGGACCTTATGTGGATTGAGCTTGAGACGACCTAAAACTAAAAGGGTACAGTGGATCATCCACCTCTTGTGATGAATGGTCTTATTGGCTAGTACTTTTTTCTATACATTTTTCCTTGTTTAATTTGTTCAAAGCCTCTAAAATCCTATTCAACTCCCCTTTTAGCTTTCTTGAACCTTCTTTATCCTTTCAAGATAATTAAAATTTTTTTATTTTATTTGTCTAGCTTGGGCTCTTATGTTATATTGGTGAATTGATTGTGTGAGATTCTTGGTTGATGAAACTATCCTTGAACCTTGATACCACAAATATGATCAGAAATGATATGCTTTATGGTATGTTTGTGCATGAATAGAATGTGGATCTTTATGGATGAAATGAGAATGATGCAAATGATAATGTTAAAACATGATAATCAAAATGATACATAGAATATTATGATGTAGATGCACAAAATCAGACAAATAACATGGTTAATTTCATGGATGAAATGAAAGTGAAGTAGATGCATAATGTTACATATGATAATAAAAATGATGCACAAAGTCAGACAATCAAAGTGGTTAGCAAGTCGTAAATTGTTTCTTCTTGTGTCCTAACTTTAAGTTACATCTATCAATAGGTATGAATGTCTTTATCATGAATCTGGCCTCTTAGGGGTGATCTATATGCAGGGTTAGATGATTTTGACTACTAAAGGTTCTCAAATTATTTCTTATATCATTGTCTATTACAAACTAGTAAGGCAGTCTAATCCTCAATCATTATAGGCTATCAACGAATATGATTCAATTTGAGTGGGAGTATTTCGCTAGCGATTACGAATATTATCATCTCACGATAGTGTAAGTACTTTATCTCTCCCTAAGAAGGATAGAGCTCGAGTATAGAGCTCATGTAATACAAATGCATGTAATAGTGTATGTGAAAAAACATATAGGTTTCATGCCCCAAAAATAAAATACAAGAAAAAAAATGTTACTAAACAAATAATTACAATTTAAAACTATTAGATTAAAGGATAGGATAAATTTAAAATGTTATGCCTTGACTTTCTATAGCATCTCCAATGAAGTTGCCAAATTATCATTACATATAGATCCATAAATCTATAGCTAGACTTAACAAATGAATGGAATCGTCACCAATCTTTTTTAACTAGGCGTGATTGGCCATCTATGGAATCTATTCTCTTAAAGAGCTCTTAAGCTTGACTAAGGGTCCTTAAAAGAATAAGTTCAGGTCTACTAACCAGAATAGGGTTCGGGAGTTCGATTACATGTGAAAAAGGTTATAGCACCCACATGCCCATCCGAAGAATAGTACCATATTATTTTAAATT